TTTTAAAAAAAAGGCAAAAAACTAAGGCTTCCCCCCCCCCCCCCCCCCCCCTTTTGCAACTTCAGTTACATGAATTTCTGTGACCACTAGTCTTCTTCCTGAATACAACAAGTACACAAAATACAGTTGTCTTCCACTGGGTTTTTCCTTCTTCCTTAACTAGTTTTGGACCAGAAAGTGTCCCACGTTTTCTTTTCTCACATGAAAAAAATTCTGGTTTCTGTATTGTCCCCATTGTTTCTAACTCATTACAGAATTTTGATATGTGGTTTCTAATTAATTTTGCAGAGGAAGAGATGAATGTAACAAGTAAAAAATTTTAAAAATCTCCATTTTTTTGTGTGTAAATGCACTATAACTTGAATGTAAATATGTGCCATTTTAATCCTGCATATAGTCAAAGATGCAGTGCAGCTACATAGCAGTAATAAGCATGAAGAACTTCCATTCCGCTTGGGAGATGGTAAAAACTTGAACCCCAAAAGCGTATTTACTGGAGCTTAATGAGTCTTCTGTCACTTAAAGCATTGCTTATTTGCTTGAATCTGTCTCCAGGAAAAACTTAAAAGGTGAAATGTTGTACTGCTTGAAAACAGTGTAGCATATCTCTAGCTAGAATAATAAATCTTAATATTGACTGGCAGTGGGGTGTGTTGCTTTGCTTTTCTTTCACTTTTTCCCCAAAGAGTCCTGTTTCTCTATTTTGAAGAAGTTGGATAAGTTGCATTGCCGTAGAAACTATTTTCTGTACCTTTGCTCACAGTTAGCAGTTGCCACTGCCTTTTTGTGCATAGGCCATAGACGGTAAGTAGCGGGTATGCTGCTGAAGGGCTGGATAAATCGATACAATACTGAATGGGTTTGTATTTTTCATTTTCTGCCGTTTCGAGCATGGGAAGGACTTTAAGATAAACAGAAGCACGAGGGAACCACCTTGTCAAAGTGGTATTTGCGTCCTAGGTCAGCTTTACAATGGGTATCAGCGTTGCAACATAAGGGGAAGGATGAAAAAACGAGCCTGACGTTGTGGGGGGCCCGGTGATGCTTCAGGTGTCACTACTTGCAAATCTCTCTTCGGTCCCAGTACTTCTGTTTTGTGTAAATCCACTAGCATCCATGCAATTTTTCCAATACACCCGATCTCCTGGACCTACAGTACTGAGAAGCGAAGCCCCTGCGCGGCTCAGTGAAGGAGCGTAACGTGCCGGTGGTGTTGGCGGCAGCCATCTGTGCACGCAGCCCTTTTACCTGGCTGTTTTCTTTCTCCTACCTTCGTCGTTTTAAGTCAGTGTGGAGGGCGCAGGGGGTTTCTCTGCAGTCCTGCTCCTCGACTCTGCCTTCCCGGGTCGCGCAGGGGGGAAACCGAGGGAAGGGGAAAAGGCGATCGGACCTTTCCTAACCGCGGTCCGCCTCCCCTCCCTCCGGGGCCTGCCCTGAGGGGACCCCCGGGCTGCAGACGGCGGCCCCTCGCTGCCTCTCCGCCCCGGGCCCAGCCGACAGCAGCCTCCCTCCCTCCTCCGCGGCGCCTCAGGGCGGGAAGGCGGGAAGGCGGCCCAGGCGCCAAGCCGACCCCGCCGGTGAGGGGGATGCCGGCGCGGCGGCACCGTGCCCGGGCGGAGCGTGCAGCAGCCGGACCGTCCCCCCGGGCCGCCTTCCGCTTGCAGCGGCTCCATGGACCCCAACCTGCGGTTCTGGAGGACGGAGGGCCAGGTCAGGGGCTGGGGGGGAGCCGGGGAGGGCGAGGGTGGGCGGGCTGCCTCCGAAATAACGCCTCGCCTCCCTGAAACGTGTCTCCGTCAGTCTTTTTTCCAGAGGTTTCTTCGCTGGGTGGACGTCTTGGATCCCCTGCTGCTCCTGAAGTCCTCCGTGAGTACCGCGGCTCGGCCTCGTCCGTCGGGGTGTCGTTCGGAGCCGTGGCCGGTGACGGGAGGTTTGGCCGTCGACCTGAACCAGCTTTGAGTTTGCTGAGGGCAGAACAGCGGGGCAGGCTGTTCCTGAATAATCTGCCGCTCGGGTGGAGGACTGAGTGGTGATGGGGAGCTGTGGCAGCGTCGGGGAAGGCAGGTTTGCTGAAATGCATCGCAGGCACCCAAAATCTCTGCTGGCTAATCCGCACACCCATCCCTAATCTGGAGGTTGATTCTCCTCCAAGTGAAAGGAACCCTGCCCTAAGAGGGAGCACAGCTGGTTTGCAGGCCCTTTCTATACCAGAGAACGATTATTACAGTTTTAACGTTAACTGTTGAAAGTGTGACACTAAACACGTTGTCGGTCACAAAGTGTAGCTTCTAAACTTCAGGGACTGGCATGACAGCAAAATTCTGGGGAAGATGCGCTTTTCTGTCAACCCACTCCTCTGTAGTTTTGTCAGGGGTGACAGAGGAAGAAGCACAGCACATTGTATGAGAGTCGGCTGGCTGGTCAGTGTGTTAAAGGAATTTTTGTTTATTGATTTGTTATTTATTTTTTAAGGGAAAGCTCCATTAAAGCAAAAGAACGCTGTCAACATGTGCATACGTGAGATATGTCCTTGTCACTTACAGAGCGTGTTGTGTGTATCTATTCATCTATCTCTCTGTATGTGTATATATGGTACAAATATATACCTCCATCTATATTTACATATACAAATAATAAAATTTAGTAAATGTACATTACATATATGTAAACGCCAACAAAAAAATTTTATAGTACATTCAGGGATTTGGAGATCTGGGATTAGTTCACACCTCCTTAAATTCAAATACACTGTTGCAAAGAGAGGTGTGCCTGTTGAAGAAAAGTCAGATCATCTCACAAATTCTCCTAAGTGGGACAGCTTTTTATGTAGGCTATGGATAAGTACATGAGGTTACAGTTCTATTCTCTTTGTTTAAGTGTACCTGTTTTCCATAATTAAAAGCTTAAGCCAAGCTTAAAGGAAGAGTGTAAGATGCAAAACTTATTCACTTGATATTTGTGAACAGGCAGGAACATCTAATGATGTTGTGACTCATTTCTGGTAATTTTAAAAGTCTGCTTTGAATTTTCTTTTTAAAATAGTCATATAGGTGCCTGTGGGGATATCAGATAGTTGCTTTGGTGGCAAATCTTTGAATTTGCCAGCACACATGGATAACTTTAAGTACAAGAATAACGCTCTTGATTTCAGTGAGGTTTTTTGTGTGCTTAAAGTTCAGGTGCATTTATGTAATGGGTTGAAGGGTTGATACTTAAGGGGACCAAGGGGGCCTGAATATTCTAAAAGTTTTTATGACTCTGAATTAGTTGTGTGTCCAGGTGTGTTCTTGCTTTAACTGCTTTGGTGAAGGACAGGTGCATTAGCTTGATGTTCTAGATTTGTATTTAAAGTATCTTATAACTGATATATTGCACCGTAGAATGTTGAGATCTCAGTCATTTTCTTCCCATTGGTTTGTTTTTTTTTCTCAAATACAGGATGAAATAAGAAGAACCAGGTTATTGCTACAAAACAGTGGAAAGACGCTAAGTGAGCCCATACAGAATGATCAGGTATTTTAGAGTGCAGTTTGTAGAAAATAGAGGTGTCTTTTTTTCATGGCTGAAATAGTTGCTATTAGTATAATATCTAGCAGACGAAGTACTGAGATGCAGATACAAGGGATAACACAAGAAAAACTCGTTACTACAGAGATTTTTCTAATCTATGAATCTAGTAGGAATTTCTTTGGATGACTACTGGGTGCCAAATTGCAGTATTTTTATCCTGAAGAATGCTAGGTTGTATATCATATAGCTGAGTTTAAAAGACACTCTCAGATCACTCTAGGAATCATTATGTTAAGCCTGACTGTCCTCAGCTGGGATGATATAGGTGGGTGATAAATATGTAAAATGCTTACTGAGCTCATTTTGAATCTTTGATGTTGCATTGTCATATAGAGGGCAGGCTGGTTTGGTTTCACATCTCATAAAATGAGCAGTAGCGGTACTTGGGTGGAAAACTTACTTGTGGAATTGCAGGAATTGTACTACTTTTGTGCTTAGCCCTCGCTTCGTTAGGAGGAGTCTTTCTTTTGATTCACTGTGGGCGTGGCTCTTCCCATGTGGCATTTTGTATCTTCTCTGTCAAAGTCTGAAGGGAGAAATAAAAAATTCCGTGATTCCAGAAAAGCTGAAGTCTTAACAGAAGTGTTTAGGCTTTTAGCCGTATTTAAGAGTTGTTGTTTTCTGTTTTAAAATATCTACTAGTTTAACTTTTAAAAATTAAGTTTCTGTTCTGCTATAATGTGTACTTTGGTCCTGTTACACAGCACATGGGATGTGAGTTAGTTATATTCAACAAGGAGAATATGGAGAGAAATTTTAGGGAAAAAATAATTAAAGGGGTGTACGGCATTCCATATAGAAGTAAGTTATTGGGGAAAGAAAAAGGTATAATAAATTTAGAAAGAAGATTTTACCCAGTCTCTTCTGAAACTTGATTACTAACCTACTTTTCAAATTGTTTAGACAAAACAAGCCTTCCTACTAAGCCTGGTAAGTTTACAAAATATTTAGAAATCTTTTTTTTTTTCTTTCTTATTTCAAGTGTGGCAAAGGTGGTCTAATTTGACTTTTTTTTTGTTTTTTTTTAAGTCCAGTGTACATCCTGATACAGACAAGATAATTCCTGTTTTGTTTAGACCTCCAGGTAAGTTCCCTAAAGAGAAGTTTTGTGTATTTGACTGAATCATTGAAGGGGAATAGCTCATAGTAAATAGCCACTGTGATAATACACTGATACTCTTCTCCATTTGGAAAAACAAGTAGACTCTTACTTCTGTTAGTTGCATTGTCATGTCTGTTGAATATTTGTTTATTTCTATGGTCCTCCTGAAGAATTTTTCCCACAGTTCATCTGCTCAGCTAGGTGGAAACAATCTGACCAGTCTCTGTTTTTTGTCACTACAGAATGAATTCCCAGATCCCCCCACATGTAAAACAGTCTACTATAAGCTAAGTTTTCACTCGATGAATGTGGCTACTGCATGAGTTTACTTGCTGTGATGGCAGATAAAGTCTGCTTGGGGTGATGTTTAGGGAGCTAAGACAGCACAGGTTGTTAATCAGATATAACCATACTTAGGCTATTTACTCATTATCTCGTATAACCACTCACAGCTGTGATGGCCTTTGTTGCCGCCTATCTCTCTTTGAACAGAGTGAGGAGAAGCAATTTCTGTTCAAAGCTCAGTTATGTAGGTGCTGAGTAGCCAGGCTGAGTGGAGTTCACAAGGGCTCCTTTTGGCTATAAGCTGTGACCAGGTATTCTGGCTTCTCGAACAAAGAATGAGAGGCAAAGGTTAGAATTCAAGTCCATGATGATGTTTTTTTTGTGGGCAGTGTTTTACATAGACCTGAAACTAGATGGGGGAAGTAAGGGGAATTTTCTGCTCAAAATCTAGACTTGGCAGTTATTTTTACTGAAACGAAGTTTTCTTTCTTTTTAGCCTTCATGCCCATATCTCTTCCATTGGTGAGTAATCATGAAAGATGCTAGTGTACCACAGGGCTTACATTTTTCCAAAGCCAGGGGTTGGAGGGAGGGAGGGAGGGAATAGAAGGTTTTAGGCTTTAGGTATTTTCAGCACAATCTTTTTAAAAGACATCTGTTTTATGGGAACTGCCGAATAATCTAGAAATCAAGCCCTTGGGGAATCTCATTAGAAGTCCAAACTTGTTAGCTACCTTCTTCAGCAGTATTCAAAGAGATTGTTTGTGCATGAAGGTCAGCTTTCTGATGCAAGGTGAAATTTGCTAGGCGTTAAGAGCAAGGCCTGGTTTTAGTCTGTTTAACCTAAAAAAACTGGAACTGCAGTAGGAAGGAGTCAGAGCCTTGTGTTCTGTGTTTCAGACCCAGAATACAAATTTTTTCTTGCGTAGGCTGTGTATTTGCAAGTAAGAAGTGGTTTTGTCAAGAAATTATAAAAGATGTAGAAATAAACTCTTGTTACAGTGCTCAAAAATTGTACCATTTTGATAAAATTTGTAGGTGCAATTATATATATGTTTATTTATTTAGATGTGTTTGCCCTTGGTTTTGGCATGTGAATATACATACTGAGATATGTCATTCCATATAGAGATTACAGCATGAACTTATATGGCACTACTAGAAAGTATAACTGCCATCAAGACTTCCACTAAATTCACTAAGAACAGTAATAGGATTAACAGAAGTATTTCTTTTTGATGTTTACAGCTTAATGCTCTTTCACAGATGTAGTTAGATTCAGCACTGGCATTAATAATAACGGTAGCTGATCCACTAATATTAAATTAACTGCTGAACCTCCTCTGAGGCTTTGGACATTCCATGCCCTCCTCTTATTCAGTGTTTGCCATATCTTGATTGACTCTGTACTTTAAGAGTGTTCCACACCTGGTAGGCCAGACCTCAAGAAAGGCTGTGGTTTATTAAAACCGAAGTTCTTATTTGCTGTCTGAATTGGGAAGTAGAATCTTTTATCTTGGATCAGGTAATCTAGTATTTATATCCCCACTAGCCAAAACAATTTGACCCTTTCTCATTTGCTACGTTAATTACATTTTTACTAGCTTACTTTATTTTATTTGCATCTATTTAAGCTTCTGTCGTGGTTTACCCCCAGCCAGTAACTAAGCACCATGCAGCTGCTCACTCACTCCCCACTCCCCAGTGTGGATGGGGGAGAGAATCGGGGGAAAAAAAGTTAAAAAAGTGAAACTCGTGGGTTGAGATAAGAACAGTTTAATAGAACAGAAAGGAAGAAACTAATAATGATAATAATAACAATAATAAAATGACTACTAATAAAAGGATTGGAATATACAGAACAAGTGATGCACAATGCAATTATTCACCACTCACTGACTGATGCCCAGCCAGTTCCCGAGCTGCGATCCTCTCCAGGCCAACTCCCCACAGTTTATATACTGGGCATGATGTCACATGGTATGGAATACCCCTTTGGCCAGTTTGGGTCAGCTGCCCTGGCTGTGTCCCCTCCCAACTCCTTGTGCCCCTCCAGCCTTCTCGCTGGCTGGGCATCAGAAGCTGAAAAATCCTTGACTTTAGACTAAACTCTACTTAGCAACAACTGAAAACATCAGGGTGTTATCAACATTCTTCTCATACTGAACCCAAAACATAACACTATACCAGCTACTAGAAAGAAAATTAACTCTATCCTAGCTGAAACCAGGATAGCTTCACAGGTACAAATGCATTTTTTTATTTTGGATAAGAAAGCATCTTGCCCAAATATTTTTGCACACAGTGTTTTAGTCACTGTGTCTCTGTGTTTTATACTGGATAGAAAAACTGAATATGTCACATCTGTGGCAAGAAAGTGAGTTAACCTAGAATCAAGGGAAATGGCTTCAGGTGCTGACTGGAGCCTTTGACACTGCTGCAAAGAGTAACATAGCAGTTCTCTTTGTACTCTAGCCCACCACTGCTCACCAAGAACTTCTAGACTCATCAAACCTAATTTTCTTGTGGGGTTTTCTTCTTAGGTTATTACTTCATCTCTTCAGCACCGGGCAAAGCAAACTTTTTTTAGTCAGGTAATTACCTCTTCCTTTCTGCATTTACAAGTCTTCTAGTCTCAATCCCAAATTCATTTTTGCTTATAATCTCTCCTTTCTGCAGCTCGTGTTTCACATGTATACCGCAGGATTTGCCCTAGTAAATGGAAATGGTACCGCAAAGGCTGAAGTATGTGTCAGTTTTTGTTTTTTAAATCATCTGAGTTGTACAAGACCATTTTGAACATGATTTACAAGTGTTTTACAAATGCACTTATGGAGTATGTTTCTTCTGTCCTTCTTAGGAGTACTCGCTTCAACAAAAGCAGATCTTCTGCGGCTTGGGAGCCATTACCTATGCAGCATGTATTGGTGTATGTATTTGCTTAACGATTTCTTTCCTAATAAGCTCTCTTGGGAAGGACTAGATGCTGAGATAATCACACTGCCAGATATCCTTCAGGATTGTGCTTTAATGCTCTGCTCTGATGTCTTGCCCCGGAACTGTTGAGAATAAGAATTTTCCTGATCGTCTGTCAGCCAATACCTTGCTTGGCTTCCTCTGATGCTTCCTCTTGTGTCCTTTTCTTTATTATTCTGCAAACTTAGAAAATGGGTGGTGAGAGGTAATGGCCAGGGATTTACAAACACAGAGTAACCCACTGGGTTGTTGTAGTTGATTTTTTGATGTGGTGCTGTGAAAGAGATCTGTCTAGCTTTAAAAAAGTGGTGACATCTGCAGGCATCTGTACTGGATTGAGTTAGCTCAGATGCCAGAAGCATCACAGCCATGAAAATACTGCACTGGAGGGCTACCTGGCTAGCTCTGTGCTGTGCAGGAGTAGGAATTCGTGGTTTCCTACATCAGAATGAGCTCTGGTATCCTTATGACACTCATTGCAAGTGTAGATGCCCCTGTAATGCATTTCCTCACTCTCCACACTAAACAGTGATTTTTATAAGCCTTCTCGCAGAAAATTATGGCTGTTCCTGCTTTTGTTAGATGGCCTTTCACCTCTGTCCAGTAGGCAAAAAACAGTTGGGCCAGCAGTGCTCAGGACTTCACAGAGGTCTGATAAGGCAGCTATGCCTGTGGGTGAATGTGGGAGTTCTTCCCCTTTGTCCTCCAAAGGAAACTCTGAGCACTCGCTGGTGTCCTGGCCATTTATTCCTAAATGAAACTTCCTGCAAGTGTATTATGGGACTATAGAAACTGCAGAGAATGAGGAACAACTGCACAAGTGGGCCAGGTGTCCTGTTTGGCAGAGAGAGCAGTATGTGTCACAAGGCAATTGGACAGATGTCCAAGGAATATTAGTCAGAGGTAATTGTTTTCCATTTTCTGTCTTTGTATTCATACTGCTATTGTCCTATACATAATAATGTTTAATGCTTTTTTTTATCACAGTATTTTGTATTCTTATCTAAAAGAGCCATTACAGATACCTTCAGTAACTAGAGAAGATACGTATTTTGTTGGAATGTTAAACCAAGGCATTTCTTTATTTTTATAGGTGGTAACTATGTACTAAGTCACAGATTTATGTTCCTAAACTGTTGCATGTACTGAAATACCGCACATATTTTTTTAATAAAAGGTGCCTGTTTGTTTCCTCCCAATGCCTTAGGCTCTTCCTCTTGTCTTCATGAATCGATACACATTGAAGAGTTCGTTAACACAACTAGTCGTCAAAAAACTTCTACCTGCTCCTCTCTTTGGTGAGTATAAAGAAACTGTACATCGTGCAGCTGGTCTGAGGGCCATTTGCTGCCTCCATCTGCCTGCAGAATTTTCTCGCCCTTGCACAGATGTGGTCTGACTGTTTCCTAGCCTTCTTCTCCGACTGCCTTTGCTGGGTACCGTCCTTTCTGTGTCAGAGTTAATACTCACTGATCAGTGTAGCTGACCTCTATTTGATGCTTGCTGTTTTTTAGGTTTAGAGCTGCAGAGTACTTTTCTGACCTTTGTATGCATGACATGCAACTGTTTCTCCAAAGATATCCAGGGATGTAGTTGGCATTTTTCTTTGGCTTGGACATTACACCAGAAACTATCAGAACTGCCAGGAGGGATCAGAGGGCAGTAGCTCTCGAACTGGCATGGTCTGGTGTGGCACATACATTACACTAGAGTGCAACACAGCTCTAGGCTTGCACTGGCATAGTTCCTTACTCAGGTTGGGGCTGTTGCTGGCTACCTAACTGCTGACAGTGTAGAAAGTGAGAGTTGTTACAACAGAATATTATTAACCTTGCAAGGTAATGGGACTCATTTCATTACTGGAACAGCTCTACTGACATGGTGAAGTTTCACCAGGACAAGTTTAACTATTTGATGTCATTAACTGTTTTTCTAATGCCGTTAAAGAAATTTTTGGCTGTTCCTAGGGTGGAACTGGTAAAATTAAAACAGGCATTTCCTTTGTTCCAAGTTATGTGAGATGGCTCCCCAGATCTTTCCAAGGATCTGGATTAGACCTTTCTGACTTGTTTCCCTTGGAGCAGGTGTTAAAATGTGCTTCCATTTTTCTGAAATGTAGAGAGAAGCCTGAGGGTAATTGCTTAATATTAGTCCAGCATTTGAAAAGTGTCATCTGTTACACTGATGTCTTTATTGAATAGCCCTGCCAAAAACTAATAAAAAGAGAAGTCTACTATTTCAAGTAAGGTCAGTTTGCCAGACTATGCCCTGTTATGCCTAGACCTTGGTCTAGAAAAGAGAAAGGAGAAAACCAGCTAGATGACTAACTCCCATTTGATATGGTCTTTATAAGTGCCAGTAGTTTAGGCTTGTGTTTTCAGTGACTGACTGTGGGATGGATGTTTTCAGGTACCTTGTAAAGCTGGGTCTGGAGGAAACTGAAACATTCTCATCTAGGATCCAGCTGAAGCGCTGCCACTTGTGACAGACACACAGCTGGGCAGAGAAGTGCCATAACGGAACATAGTAGAGTGAGCCAGTGTTCCCCTGGTACCCTCCCTTTCAAATCAAGGATGCAGCCTTTACTTAAAAGTCTGTTCCCTTCAGGGTGTTTTCTTCTGTGCTGGATTTTGTGCTGACCAGTACAAAACCCATCCACAATGCAAATCCCTCCCCTTTCTCTTAAGAACAAAGTACTCTGGTTTGAGCTGGATGGCAGTGATTGAAAGCTCCAAGTCCATAATGATAAAGCACCTTTTAGGACTGGGGCCTTAAAATCTTGCTCAAGCTTCTGAAAAAAAGATTAAGATCCCAAGCAGATTTTTATGGGGCAGTCTCTTCTTAAGCTGCCAGGTTATTCAGCTGTGAACTGTTGAAATGGAAATGTAAAATGCACATAATTATGAATGTTATTATTGAGATAGTCCTTTTGGATCTTTTAAAGCAAAATCCTCTTTAACTCTGCAGGCTTGATGAGTGCATTTACTGTGGTGGTGGTGAGAAGCCCAGAATTTGAGAATGGAATTGAAGTGATGGACAGCAATGGCAAGGTTGTAGGAGTGTCACAGAAGGCTGGTGAGAAGGTAGGTGGGGGTGTGGAGGCCTCTCTTGACTTGCCTTTCATTCCCTGCTAAGAGCTGAATGTGATGCTGAGAGTAGATACAGTTGGATATATTGAAATGAGGAATCCCAGATCAGGTGCTGAATCCTTGGGTAGGCTTGGACTAGGTCTCTGGAACCAGGTTCCACAACCTTTGTGTCTTCAGGAGTTAGCAGCCTCCCCAGACCAATATACCGAGTGCTAGAGTTGAGCCACAGAGACACCAGCACAGGCATTTCTGCTTTCCCTGGTCACCTCAGGAGGAAGGCAAGACTCTTGAACCTTCTTCTGCTGGGACACCTCAGAGAAAAGCTCTGTATTGTACATATTGCATACACCTTCTATAGTGGGATTATTAGGCTGTGCCTCCCAAAGGTTAATGCCCTGATCTACAGTGTGCTAGTGCATTTTATCCTTGGGCTCCAGTTGCTGACTAAGCTGACTCTATTTTCTCCTTGCCTTGCTCATCAACATCCACTGTAGAGCCTGGCACAGGAACTAAAGCAAGGAGTCATATTTTATGTGCTATCAGTGACCCTCCCTTTCTATGCTTCTGTCCAGAGGGGACGAAATGGCTAGATGAGCATAAAGATTTATGGACAGCTGGAGAGAAAACTTCAAATTTAACACAGGATAGTTAGGATATCCAGAAGTTATAACCATTTGGAAGAAGTTCAGCACAACTTAGAAAAAAAGCAAGTATCATCAAAAATCATTATCGTGCTAGGAAAACCCGATATGGCATCAGTAGTATCACCCGCCTTTTAAGGAATTTCTTAGTCACAGGTGGAATATTTGCCACTTGTAGTTTAGTTTCTATTTAAGAAAGAATTCCTCTAACAAATGTTTTTATTGCTCATTAACCTGTTGCTTGCAACTCCAGAGTATTACACAAAAAAGTGCTCACAGAAGCATGCAGTATTTGAAGCTGCACAGAGCACTGCTTTAACAACATTTATTTTCCTCTCTCCCTGGAGGCCGTTAAAGAAACAGCATTGTCAAGAGCAGTCTTGTTTGGGACAACATTCTTCCTGCCAGCTGTGCTTATGTACTTTGTGGAAAGGTAGGAGGTACCGCAAAAGGGCTGGGGGTGCCTGGTCGTTGTGTATTCTGTTTTTTAGTCTGGCTCTTACCACTTGCCAATTTTTACTTGTGTTTGCAGTATTACTTGGCTTGGTAGAACTGATTATCTGGGAAGTTTCTGTTCAGCTACTGTGATTCATTTAGATAAGTAGTAAGATTAATCTGGTTATGCCCACATCCATGCTTTGAGGGTTTGCAGGAGGTTGTGTAAAATTATGAGGATTTCCTCTCTCCTCTCATGCAGGAAACATGTTTGTGCTCTCCTGACAGTCTGTTTTCCAGCACCTAGGTTCCCTAACTTGATTTGACTCCCAGTGTCTGATGTCAAGGTTGTTCACAGCACTTAGCTTAGATTTGTTATTTCTGAAGAGATAATATAGTACTTGAATTTGCAAGTAAAGCTGGATCCCAACTTCCAAAAAGCTTTCCATATATTGTGAAACATTTTATTGCTTTTGCAACATTTAGAAACCCTTTATCATAAGAAGAATTCATTGTATGCTTTATCACAGAGTTCTTAGCCTGCCCTGAGCTTTTGGTAGGGGTCATCTATGTCATGTAAATAATACAGGTAATTTGGTATTGCCTAAATCAATTCCCTATCCCCCTTTATTACTTAAGGGACTCCTGTTATCAGAAGACATAAATGTGGATGTAACATAAAATTTAAAAAATACATCAAGTACTAAATTTTGCACAAGGCAAAGTAGGACTGCCAACAGGAAGTAAATCTGAAAGGAAAGAGGATAATGCAAGAAAAATCTAAGTCAAAGGACCGAGACGTTTTAAAGCACTAATACCCCTTCTCTAGTCATTTTGATCTTGCTGTTTATTTTCTTAATCTTGTATTCACAATCAGGGCCTGGAAAATGCTGCAGCTAAATACAAAACAAAGGGAATGAACAGGAAGTTAAGAGTAAGAACATAGGAAGTAAAGTAAAGAAACATCTTGAGGTTTCATAAGCCTAGGTTATTACTAACTTCAGTGCAATTTGAACCACTAAAATAATAGCTAATGCTCTTTGTCTCACTGTCAGATTATTTTTCAAGACCAAACTGACATACTTACCTTTTCAATGTCTTGGACAGAGCAAAATTTGCAAAAACTCCACATGCTTTGGCTTCAGTGAGAATGTTTGTGGTGACGTCAGTACTAGCAGGGATGCTACCAGTCTCACTTAGTATGTTCCCGCAGTGTGGGGTGGTAAGTCCTTTCATCAGAATTGATTTAGGATTATTGTTATATTAAATAGTCATTCCAGAATGATGGCCAGCAGTCGTAAGGCCACACACCAGAAATCAATAGATTTAATGTGGTTGTGCATCTAAAATGGGGCAGCGGAGAGGCTGCTTGTGAAGGCCCATGTACCGGGCAGAGGCTTACAGGACTTTCTAGGTCTAAGTTGCATTGTGTAATTTATATTTATACTTTTCACTGTAGATTTGTCAGATTTTTCACAACAGTCTGAAGCAAGCAAGATCCCGAGAGCTGTCTTAAAGATTAAAACCAAGGCTCTTCCAGCACTGTTTTCAGTCCTGCTGGAGATAGGAAGGATGTAGATGAGAATTTTTTCTTTCATGCAAAATCAGCATGAGCTCATGGGAGGGGTAAACTCACTCACATGCGACATCACTTTGCCTTGCCTTACCGAACTGTGAAGTGTAGTCTGTTCCCTGGGAAAGTACACCTTCCTGGCAGGTTTTAAATGGAGGGTGTAGCCCTTGAACCTTGGGCTTTGGAGAAGGCCAAATGAGAGAGGAGCTTGGGGTTCCTTTCTGCATTTATTTCCTCTCCCTTATCGGTACTGTATGAATATTCTCAGAAAATCACAGACTGGGCTCTTAAAATTTTCAGTGGTTTCTTTTATTTGCCTAAACTTTCTGGCATTGTAATGTCTCTTTTTAGATTTCTTAATCTTTTATGGCAACAAAGGTAAACTGAGCATAAATGAGGGGACTTGTGAGAAATTATGTACTGAGAGTATGGCTGGTTGGTTCCCTTTGAGCTTCACAATTGCTCAGCCCACAGCAGAAGTTCTCCTGGGTGAGTCACCCAAATACATTTACAGTTGGACTCTATGATCTTTGAAGGTCTTTTCCAGCCTAAATGATTCTATAGTGAATGGAGATAATGTCACTAATGCTCTGTTTAGATCTCAGAAGTACCTCTAATTTTAAATAAAACATATTTCTTCCCTTATGTGTGTGTGTGTGCATGTAGGGAATGTCAGAGAAGCAAAAAAGAAAAGAAGCCCCAAAACAAACAAAAAATCCCTCAAGCCCCCAAATAAACAAAGAACTCCAAATCCCATACAGTCTTGCTTCTGAACACAGTATTTCAAGTTGTGCAAAGTTCAATGCAGTAAAGAGGACTTAATATATACTTACCAGGATATGGTGGTGTTGATTCCCTTTTTCTATATATTGCAGATAAAGCGAGCAGACCTTGAACCAGAAATCCTGTCCTCTACAGAAGAAACTGAGTTATTCTACAATAGGGGAATTTAGAGATTGGTTTTAATATATAAATGTGTTCTCTGACTGAAGTGAATTCTGAATGTATCAACAAATTCAGTTGGCATATGCGATCGAATTGTGAATTTATGATGGTTTACGTACCAGATTTGGTGTACAGTGCTGTGGTCTGTAAAGAGGCAGACTGCAAAATGATTTTGCAAGTCCCAGCCTACAGGCAGGTATGTACACATAACTTAATGCTGTAAATGATATTTGTACCAGAAAGCACTGTAACACAGCGTTTGTCACAAACTGTGTTCTGTATGCTTCCTCGTGTGATTGATTTCATAATTAAAAGACTATTGAATACAAAAGTTTGTTCTGTTGTTGCTGCAGCTTTTGACATGCTGCTCTCCAGGACCACAGCTGGTAAAGGCATTAACATCAGTAGTCCTTTGGGTAAAGTCAAGCTGGTTCTTCTCAGAACACTTATTTTGTATGTTTCATTGTATTTAGTAGCACTCATTTCAAGGACTAGACATGTGTGAGGTAGCTATTAGACAAAGCAACCCCGATGGCAATATAATACCAGTTAAATTTAGTTGTTTAAGAAATGTTCAGGAACCGGGTGTCAAATTTGGCTACAAAGTGACTCCTGGCTTTCTCAACATCCTTGAAGGAGTTGTGAGGCCTGATGCCCTTCTTGAGCTTTAGAACTTGTTTTTTACATTGAAGCCACTGGGAAGTCCTGTGGCTTTCTGACCTTGTGCTGGACAATGAGGAATCCCCACTTTTGCAGGTTAACAGTGTTTATCCAAACAAAAAAAAAAGCTGTCTTTTGAGATGTGGCATAAGGATTAGCCTGTTGATCAGTGCAGTGATAAATTTTGCTGATCATATGAAATTATTCAAGGGACCAGGGCTGCCTGCGAAGAGCTGCAGAAAGACCTTCCACTACCACATGTTAAAACAGGTGAAATACCCAATGGATAAGGGAAAAGTAATGAGCTTGGCAGAGGGAATAATCCAGCTTCATGACTGGCCTGCGAGTGGACTGTTAACACTAGGAGCAGAATTAAGGGTAGTGGCAGATAGCTCAACATGTAGTTGAATTTTGAAGTTCTTACCAAAGGGCATTATGGATATTAAAAGCTGACATGAATTGAAAAGGAGAATGAGCATTTCCATCAAAGGGAATCCACTGAAGGATACTAAATTCATGGAAATTACACCAGCAAAAGAAGATCATAAGCTCCATACTACTGGAGAGCGGAAGGGGTAAACAGCTTATTTGCCTGCTCTCACTCTCTTATGTCTACTTTTGGTGGCCACTGGGATATGACATTTGGCTGACTAGATCTTTGGTCTGGCCTAGTACAGCTGCTTTCATATGGTTTGCTGACCTGCCACAAAATCAAGATCAGACCTTCTCCTGGGGGAACAAGATAGAATGAAGCTCTGCAACTGGCAGGAGACCCTGTGGTTGTGATAACTGTAGGCAGGAGTCATGGGAGAGATAGCTCTAAGATCACTGAAGATGTTATGTGAGGCACTGCTAAGGCTGTGTGTGACAAGGATAAATATGCACTAAATAACATAATAATCACATTCACAGAAATAATTTTACATGTACAGCCTCCAAAGTCTGCCATAATTTATCTTCCTTAAGAGTGCAATACACAGGTCACTGCTCTCCTGTTGCTGGAGGATTAGATTTCTTTTTGCTGTGTGAGAAAACCAATGATTTCCCCATCCACTCCATCCCTACAGGAAGACAGCAGCATAGAGCAAAGGAAGGAAAAATAGCAGGCCTGGTCTCTTGCAGGAAAACAGTTCCTGCTGTGCTTTTGGCACTGAACAAAAGCAGGAAGTAGGGGGGTGAGTTTAGTTTCTTGTCTGAGTTCTGCCTTTTTTGAGCCTTCCTCTAACAACTTACTGCAGCGAAGGGTCAAACAAGGAAAGAGGACAGGGGAGTAGCAGCCCACCCTGATGACCTGTAACTTGAGGGGAGCGTGCTATAAAGCTGTTCCAGGAAGACAGTATGGATACTGTCTGTAAGTTGCCAAGCCTAAGAATGGCAAACCTCCACTGGAGGACTGTAGTGAATTTCTAAAGGGAAAAGATCATTTACACCTACTGAACTCAACAGGGATCGCTTAGCCTTGCCTTTGTGGGTCATGTTCTTAAGTACATAGTAAAATCCCATCGGGGTCAACAACGTAAAAGCAATTGTGCTACATCAGACCAGAAGTCTGCCTAGCCAAATGTCATCTCCAATGGCAGCCAAAAGGGAAGACAAAAAGAAAAGGTCACATCAGCTTCAGCTCTCCTGAGCTGGGAGGACACTAGGGAGAAGGAGGCTTGCCCTGCTCTTTTTCCTTAGATACCGCCTCTCTCAAGGAAGTGTTTGTCTCCTTCCAAATCTTTAATAAAGGTGGCACAGCTAACATCCTACAGTTAAATTCTCTAAAACCCCATTTCTCTATTAATCCTACTTCAATAACATACCAAAGGCAAACTCAGATGGGGTCTAATTCCACTCTCAGTAAACATTAATTGGCACTGCAATGAAGACACAGACCTCTCCCCACTCCTTTTTTAAACATAATTTAAGAACGGTTAAAGTAAATGCTAGTTATGTGAACCACAGTGGGAGCAAAGAGAAAAAACCCAAAACAACCGACAACAGAGCAAAGCCAACAAATTGAAGATAACACATTCATGAACTTTGAATTGTCATTATAACTAGACAAGCTATAAATTCTCTGGCACCATACTTGGATGTTTTAAGCAAATTGATGTCATTACAACTCTGTGAGTAAGGCTTATGGACTAGGTCTGGTAATAGTGTCTGTTATTATAGCTGCCCATTACCAAACTCTACCAGCTTCTTACTGAATACTTGAAGTTTGCCATATTAAACTCAGCCCCCTCAGGGTTATTAAAATACCTCTTTCCCCCATTCTCCGAAATGTTTCTATTGCCCTAACCAGAATTTTCCAGAAGAGGAGGGCAGGCATCTGCCATTTAAATTGTCAGCCTGGGTGACTCAGCTGCTTCCCAAATAAGGGCTGGGAAAATATGTTGCTAAAAAGGCCCTGTCATCCTTGGTCTTGAAATAAAGTCATTATGAGAGTAGAACTGCCAGACACCTGGCAGTCCAAAGGGATGAGATAAGTGAGGGGAACAAGACAGGAACAAGCAGAAAAGCATCATGTTTGAAGGACTTAAGAGGAGCGTCAGCACCTACAGGAAAACCTTCCCCTTTGTAACTTGGAATACATTAACAACATACCAGCCCAAGGCAGGTCTGTCTCCTGCCTTTAGCACTGGCCAGCAGGTGTGTTAAGTGACAGTGCATTAGTGGTGGCACCAGTTTAAGGTGTGGTAAACTACAATAGATGGAAGCTTTCAGCTTCAAGGAAAGCCTGTCTCAGTACAGCACAATACGGTAGCAGTTCCCTGCCTACCCAGCTTGTCATCTTGAAATTTAGGAATATACAATGAGGCTTCTATATCCCTTTAATGTAGCTTAAAAAAAAAAATAAATAAAAGCAGCCACTCCCATGTTTGGAAATACTGAGATCAAAGCATTTCCTCAGCTGGAGCTTGTGTCCCTGTGTTACTCCCAAGCCTGTAACACAGCCACGCTATTTTTCCATGCAGGCCATAGGGGTGGAGGAAGGAAGGATGCAGGTGGGGAGGGAGCCCTGCACTGCAGCTCCTTCTCTATCAGACAGCAAACACCAGGCCACGTGCTGCACAGTGTCGCTTGGGAAGGAGCTGTTGCCTGGTCTTTGGAGTCTCCTCCCAAGTCTCACATCATTCGGCAGCTACAAGGAATGACCTCACCTGACAAAGATCCCTCTGACTCAGACTCCAGCCAGAGAGCGCCCTAGGGAAGGGTGTAAGGCAGTACAAGGCAACTGTGAACTTCTTACACTGAGCTTTACAGCTTGTTTTTTATCTAGAAATTTAGCTGCTTCAAACAACATCTCACAACACGCTATTAACAAATCCTCATTAGCCCCTTTTGGTAGCAGTCAGAGGTTGAAAGCAGAAGCAGCCTGTAGTTTTAAGATGGATGCTATCAGATGTCCTGCATCAGTTTTTTCCAGGTTACACAGCATTATAGTGCTCTCAATCAGAACATTCCCCCACATGCTTGCCTGCAGGGGAAACAAGGCAGGCCAGCTTATACCAGGGACTAAAACCCCAGGGATGGCAGCATCAGAAACAACACAGAGTTAGCCTTAAGGGACTAGTCTAATTTACTCAGCAAAATCACAGCTGAAGGGATTGAACATTTATCCCACTCCCCTTTGCAAGCCTTTGCTGTGTTCGCTATCTACCTTCCAGTATCTGCAAATGTAGTGCAGATGTTATGCTACAGCTGTCATCACAATAACCGGCTCACACAGGCAGCGAGTGAGGCAGAGTGCACAGGGAATAACTTTTGCCTCAGCTGAGGAAGGAGCAGTGCTACTATTTTCATTTGAATTCAAGGCTTTCAATTATTCTACATGCTGCATGACTTTTGGAGGCATGTCTCTTAGCAGGTTGACAGGAACCATCATTCACCATTTCGTGTTTATCAAAGAACAGAAAGGAAGCAAGATGAGAAGGTATGAATGAAAATTTCATATTACACAGTCTTTGCTTCTAGGAGGAAGAAGAAAAGGATGTCATCTGACTTTGCAAACCCAGCAACTGTACACACAGTCTGCTTGTATGCATCCTGGGGAAAGGGAAGTGAGAAATAAGCAGAAATCTTTCCCTGTCCTGACCTTCCAGATTTTTCTATTTTATTCTAAACCATTTTGAGAGGAAACAGTGTCAAAAGTCAGTAAGAAAATGCAAGAACATTAGGACAGTCTTTTGAAGGTACTGAAGCCGAGGGAGGCCAATACACCTTTCTCAGCACTGACAAAAAGAAAA